GCAGAAAGTGGAAGGTGAATTCAGAGTACTCTCTTACAAAGTAGAAATCAGCAGAAAGTGGAAGGTGAATTCAGAGTACTCTCTTACAAAGTAGAAATCGGCAGAAAGTGGAAGGTGAATTCAGAGTACTCTCTTACAAAGTAGAAATTGGCAGAAAGTGGAAGGTGAATTCAGAGTACTCTCTTACAAAGTAGAAATTGGCAGAAAGTGGAAGGTGAATTCAGTGTACTCTCTTACAAAGTAGAAATCGGCAGAAAGTGGTAGGTGAATTCAGAGTACTCTCTTACAAAGTAGAAATCGGCAGAAAGTGGAGGGTGAATTCAGAGTACTCTCTTACAAAGTAGAAATCGGCAGAAAGTGGAAGGGGAATTCAGAGTACTCTCTTACAAAGTAGAAATCGGCAGAAAGTGGAAGGTGAATTCAGTGTACTCTCTTACAAAGTAGAAATCAGCAGAAAATGGAAGGTGAATTCAGAGTACTCCCTTACAAAGTAGAAATTGGCAGAAAGTGGAAGGTGAATTCAGAGTACTCTCTTACAAAGTAGAAATCAGCAGAAAGTGGAAGGTGAATTCAGTGTACTCTCTTACAAAGTAGAAATCAGCAGAAAGTGGTAGGTGAATTCAGAGTACTCTCTTACAAAGTAGAAATCGGCAGAAAGTGGAAGATGAATTCAGAGTACTCTCTTACAAAGTAGAAATCAGCAGAAAGTGGAAGGGGAATTCAGAGTACTCTCTTACAAAGTAGAAATCGGCAGATAGTGGAAGGTGAATTCAGAGTACTCTCTTACAAAGTAGAAATCGGCAGAAAGTGGAAGGTGAATTCAGAGTACTCTCTTACAAAGTAGAAATCGGCAGATAGTGGAAGGTGAATTCAGAGTTCTCTCTTACAAAGTAGAAATCAGCAGAAAGTGGAAGGTGATTTCAGAGTACCCTATACAAAGTAGAAATCGGCAGAAAGTGGAAGATGAATTCAGAGTTCTCTCTTACAAAGTAGAAATCGGCAGAAAGTGGAAGGTGAATTCAGAGTACTCTCTTACAAAGTAGAAATTGGCAGATAGTGGAAGGTGAATTCAGAGTACTCTCTTACAAAGTAGAAATCAGCAGAAAGTGGAAGGTGAATTCAGAGTACTCTCTTACAAAGTAGAAATCAGCAGAAAGTGGAAGGTGAATTCAGAGTACTCTCTTACAAAGTAGAAATCTGTAGAAAGTGGAAGGTGAATTCAGAGTACTCTCTTACAAAGTAGAAATCAGCAGAAAGTGGAAGGTGAATTCAGAGTACTCTCTTACAAAGTAGAAATCTGTAGAAAGTGGAAGGTGAATTCAGAGTACTCTCTTACAAAGTATGAATCGGCAGAAAGTGGAAAGTGAATTCAATGTTCTCTCTTACAAAGTAGAAATCAGCAGAACGTGGAAGGTGAATTCAGAGTACTCCCTTTCAAAGTAGAAATCTGCACAAAGTGAATTGATGACGACCTTTATATTATATAATAATTTTATCCATAGACATCTTGGAACTGATATGTTCTGACAAGTGATTGACAAATCAAGATAAATTATAGCAAAGTTTGTTTTGAATTTACATCAGTATAACAATAGGTCTACATTTTTTTTCTTGAGGAGTTTTTTTTCTGAAGAAATCGAAAAATGATTTTATTGACAGACATGGTGCTAAATTTATAATGGATTAATGTAGATATGCACGTCTGGTGGTATAGATTAAGTATAAGTATTTATACCTTACAGTGAATTATAAATAACCTGCCAATAAAAATGTATTAAACCTTGCAAGATATTCTAGTATTTAAAAGTCTGTTTTTCTAGATTATTGCAACATTTTTGAAAACAAGTATCAGTGGAATGATTAAGGAATGACCAATCATACCAAGGAGTTATACATATATTACATACAAACACAGAAATCAAGGCCAAATCAAAAACAACTTTTGCAACTTGAAAAAAGACATTATTTAAAGTGAACAATTAAACACCATAAGTTGATGACAGACAGACAGAAAAGAAATTACCAATAGAAAAGAACACTTAAGACAAAAAAAGATTTAAGAAGTGTTCCTTAAGGAGTAAACTGAATGCAATACTAACTTATTACCTGCTTTGCCAAGTGAAATCAGGTTTAATAACTGCTCGCTTTTGTCTGTCTGTTAAGAAGTGTTTGTTTAGGAGTAAACTGAATGCAATACGTAATTGTACTTAGGAAAGTTTTCATCATTTTTTTGGCTCTTTTATAGGGAATGATTAAATAATTGTTCTGCAGCTTGATTAAGTTCAGTTGTAACTAATTATCAATTTTTACTTCCGCCATGATGCAGCTACTTCCTGTTTGCAGATATTTTGAAATTTTACAACAATCATTGTACAAACAAAATTTTCATCACATTTTTTTGTGCTTAATGAAAGGGAATCATCTGTTATGCTTCAGAATACATGTTACCTCAAACAATTACATGCTACCACATAGGTCCAGACATAGGTGCAGACATAGGTGCAGACATAGGTCCAGACATTGGTCCAGACATAGGACCAGACATAGGTCCCGACATAGGTCTAGACATAGGTCCAGATATAGGTCCAAACATAGGTCCAGACATAGGACCAGACATAGGTCCAGACATAAGTCCAGACATAGGTCCAGACATAGGTCCAGACATAGGTCCAGACATAGGACAAGACATAGGTCCAGACATAGGACCAGACATAGGTCCAGACCTCTGGTAATCGGTCTTGTGTATACAATACATTAAAGATATAATCTTAATTCCATCTTGACAATCATTCATTATCTAGAAATACTGTTACACAAGTCACTATAGTATGGAAAGTGCCCCGTTATTTTAAGTTAGTATATAGTTTTTTATCGTTTAGATTCCCCATTTCCATTCTCAATTTTATTTTATCGTTTAGAAATAAAATGGAGGAGCCAATTTTATCGTTTAGAAATAAAATGGAGGAGCCATGGACTTAGCGACCAATTTCACAAAAACCTTACAAGAAAAAGTAATTGTTAAGTCATTATCATTTAAGTATAACTAAAGATCAAGTTTAGTCTGAAGATTTTTGTTGAAAACTGCTGCAGAGTTTTATAATAAGCATAGAAAGTGTTAAATATTTGATATTTTGAATTAATATGATTGAAATATGCATCCTCAATTCATGGAACACCACCAAAATGGTCCTAAAATTTGTGAGGCTCTTGTATTGTAGTGGACCAAACCAAGTGCCTATATCTGATGGACGGGGTTGTCACCTTTCAAAACAAAATCTTCCTCATATAATATTAAATAACTACTATATTAATGCTCTTAGATATAAAAAAAAAATACAATACATTTATTGAAGTTTTTAATCTGAAAGTTTTTCTGTAAAGTTTTCTTTGAGCATGAACTGAGGCTGGAAGATGATTATTTTTATCTACATTTTCTTTAATTCCAAGGACAAGAAATATTACATACATTAACTTCTTATTTTTAGCTGAAACCAAACCAACCACAAACAAATGATGTTGATTCTCTAAATATACATGACTTTCACATTAGGTTATCACATGTGTACTTGTCATGTGACTTTCCTCTACAAGTTTATGGCATCATGACAGCTTACAATATTCCGTCAGATTTTTCAGGTGCAAATGATTCCATCATAGTGTAGACATTGACATTGCCACCAAAGGCAACATATAAAATTATCATTTCACTACAGTATATCAGAATACATTGTAGTACACACTTTTATTTTTGGGTAAAGATTGCAAAAAAAGGCTAGCACCTTGTCTTCTGATGGTTGCTGTGTGGGTGTCTTACGTAAAGAATAACTCGTACAAAATAATTGTGAATGATTCTTGTCATAATCCTTATAATAAGTTAGGAAGCTGATGAATATTTTTCTATTGTTTATTTTGATATTAAACAAATGTAACTAATTATTTTGGTATATTTACGTCCATGTTTATTTCTGGTCTTGACACTTGCCTCCAGTGATATGTGCACTTTATCATCCAGAAGATATAAATATAAACACTGTGTACTTTAGGTATTATTATAAAAGAGTGATAAACTTCCCTATTTCATTACTTCAGATTAAGATATTTTGGTATTTCTTTCAGCTGTAAACATTAAAGGATTTTTCTTTACTAAAAACAACAATGTTTCATACCACTATTTGTTATACTTGAATTATGATGTTTAGCATTCTTTTATAGGAATCTGCGCTCTCTCATGTTTGAAAACAAGTATTTGATATAACAGTTGCACAAGGAAGTTTGATGCTTTAATACCAAAGTGTACTTTTATAAAGTATAATATTATGGTTGTAAGAAATATCTGTTTTCATTCGTCAGGGATTTAATTACATTTTTATGATTTCATCAAATGTAATTGTATATCCTGCATTAAATGTCTTGCTTTATCCTAAAAATAAAATGTCAAATTCATGGGATATTTTAATTCATTGAAAACTATCTTTTTGCCTTAACCATAATTTCATATTGTTATTAAATTAGATGTCTGGCTAATTCTGTTAATTATCTAATACTAAACTCTTTGTTGAATTGCCATGTATAAAATAACTGATTGTTCTGTCAAATTTTCAAATGTAGTGTGTTAATTGTATGGGGGCGTTATGTTATCTGGTCTGTGCGTCTGCCATCCCTTGTTTAATAGTCTATCTGTTCATCTGTACCTGTGAGATTAACGCTTTAGTTTAACGTGGTCTACCAGAAGTTGCCGTCACATCAATGTAATAGTGTGAGCAGGACATAGTGTCCCATTCTTGTTTTTATTTTTGTATCCAATTTTTACTCCTAAAGAAAACAGATACTTTTTTATTTCCCATCTTGTCGTAATTGTAAACTGTTAACTGTTATCTCCAAAACAGAAGATTGTATCAGTACTTCCTTATATCTATGTCATTTGTCAGATTAATTTCTTTACTTAAAATCAGAATGACACATTATTTGACTGTATCCACACTTATTCTTGTATTTTTCAGATTGAATTGTTAACACCAAAACAGAATGGCACAGTGGAAAATACGGACCAAGATAAGCAATATTCATCTGCCTCAATCAAGGGAATGTGGAAAAAAGCATTCAAAAGTTTAAAGAGTTCTCCATCAGATTCAAAATTAGTGAGTTGATGATTTGATATTGATGAAACAGAAAAAAAGAGATATGATGTATTAATTTACGTTACTATATCCATACATGTACCTCATCCTCAACATGCATGAAATATTTGCCACTGGACATTAAGCAAACAACAATTAAACAATCTATACATGTACATGTCAAAATTTAATGCAAAGAACAGCACTTTTATCTCAAAGTCACAGTGAGGCCTGTGTTATCTGAAAAGTCTTTTTTTAAGTTTCAAAGGTAAGAGTTATAGGATGCCAGAAAGTTTGCAGGTGAAATACACCTTTACTTTAAATCAAAATTAAAACAAAAAGAATGAAAATATTTTTTTCCTGCTTTACAATACTGTGGATTTATTTTTAGCTCACCTGGCCCACAGGCGATTTGAGCTATTGCCATCACTTGGCGTCTGTTGTTGTACATTGCCATGAAATTTTTCAAAGATCTTCTCCTCTGAAACCAATTTCAACTAAACTTGGAATGACCCTCATGGTATCTAGTATATAGTTTTTCTTTTATTCTGGACAGTCAACAAACATGGCTGTCATGGCTATAAATAGAAAAAGGGGTAAAATGCAGTTTTGGATTTTATCTCAAAATACTAAATCAATTAAAGCAAAATTGACAGAGTCAGGATCTATTCGCCAGAAAATTTCTAGAAGAATCAGACAACCCAATTTAAAGTTATTGCTCCTGAAAAAATAATTTTTATGAAATTTATTTGTTTTTGGTTATTATCTTGAAAACTATTAAAATTAAAAGGGAACGTTTTAACAACAAAAAGTTCAGCAAAGTAAGATCTACCAATAAGTCTAAGAACCAAGTACGTCAATTAATTCCTTGTAGGAGTTATTGCCCTTGAAAAACAATTTTTATAATTTTTTAAAGTTTTTTTTTTCAGAAACTAAATTAGATAGAGAGAAACTTAAAACAGCAAAAATGTTCAGCAAAGTAAGACCTACAAAAAAGTCATTTAACCGAAATCGTCAATTGATCCCTTTTAGGATTTATTGCCCTCAAAAGATGATTTTTTTTCCCATTTTTTTTTTTAGTTTTTTGCAGAAACTATGATAGAGAGAAAATTTGAATGGCATATTTAACTATGATAGATAGATACAAAATTTAAATGGCATGTTTAAACACACATTATATTAAATTAAACAGCAAAATAATCATTGATACAAGATCTACTAGAAATATTCCAGGTGAGCGATTCAGGATCTTAGCAGCCTCTTATTATTTGTTTGGTACTAATTTCATGGATTTTGAGGGTTTTAGGGAACCACTTAGATTTAAATGTTGAACAAATTTAAACATATTTGTGTGGAGAATATTTCAATACTACAAAATCATGTATCATCAAAAATACAATTTTCCTCAATTCACAAAACCAAATAAATCCACAGTTTCTCGGGTTTTTTTTTTATTCATGAACAGAAGACTTAATTTAAAAACAAATCCTTTGAAAGCAGATTAAGCATAGACAATTTCTCTGTAGTACAATTTGATTTAATCCTTTTTCTTAAGCCTTATTACTAAAATATTAAAATGACAGAAAATAGGTGGACATTTTTTTAAAAGAAAAGAATGAAAATCTTATTCTTGTGATTTTTTGGTACTATTAGATTATGTGCCATCATTCTGTTATCTCAATACTGTTCATTAAAGCCATTGTCCAGCATGTGAGAACACTTTCCTCCAAGGACTTATAAATTTACAATGTTTCATGCCTACAAAATGTTTGTTATCTCTCTGTAAAATTCCCTAAAGGAAATTTGTTGGCAATAAAATGATATATAGATTTAATATATGGCATTGTTTAAGATTTTTATCATAAAAACTGTTGATTACGATTAAAAAGCCCCACATTATTTACTGATTTCCGCTTTGGATTCAATATTTTTTCTTTCGACATGGATTCTATGTTTGGAAGATTTACAAACTCTGCAAAAATAATGAAGAATTCATCTTCACGAGAGATGCTATTACCAGTGGACCTCTGTAGATATGAGGAGGTAAAGTATAAAGAACCAAGTGGGATTGTTCAATCACTGCCTCTATTATATTGATGTTCTTATTTTGTCAGGAATCAGTTTTTTTTTTTGTTATTGAACATGTTAAATATTTATTACCTATATTTATGAATTGTGAATTTGTAAGCTTGTTCTTCTTATTGTAGAGCAAGAAAGCCAGTTTAAAGAAAAAGCAAGGATCAAAAGAAGAAGAGGAAGAACAAGAGCAAGAACGTAAGTCAAAGGTCATTTAATGAAGTTCAGAGATCACCAGATCTGTGTAAAGATAATGCTATGTAATTTAAAGGGTTCCTTGTGATGATTGTTTCAGACATTGGTAATAGGACACATCCTTCTTTTTCTTCTTTAAGTTTCTAGCGATCCTTCAATTGTTGAAGATTATTCGCCGGGCGTCGACTATAAAATTTTATAATTTACATTGTAGCAAGAAAAATAAAAAGAAACAAAATCAAAAAATCAAAATAATGTATGTACATTTGAAAAATTTCATTTAGATAAAACTATATACATTTGATAACAAAATAGTTAAGGATAGAAAATGGGGATGAGAGCAGATTCTGAGATCATCCTAGGACATAAGACAGTTTAAGTGGCCAGGTGAGCTATTGTCATCCTTTCCTTAGTCGTCTTTGTCCTGTTGTCGCCCTTAAATTATTAAAATTTCTTCTCCTCTGAAACCACTGGACCAATTTTAATCAAATTTTGACTGAATGATTCTTAGGGTATGTTGTATAAAGAATGTGGTTTGTTTTTCTGCCAATCAACCACCACGGCTAAAAATAGAACATAAGATTTAGGATATATGCAATTATTTTCTAATATCTTGAAAACCATAATAAATAGAGAAATTTGACAAGGCAAAAATGCTCAGAATGTAAAATTTACCTTAATCCTATTTACACCAAATTATCAGATGACTCTGTATAGGAGTTATTGCCCTTAAATGATGATTTACAACTTATTTTCAAATTTTTCCCTATTATCTTGAAAACTATAATAGATAGGTAGATCTGTAAACAGAATAAATTATCAGCTAAATAAGATCTACAAAGATACATATACATGTATGACAAAAACCATTGGATGACTCCTTGTAGGAGTTATCGCCCTTAAATGATGATGTTTGGCTAATTTTCGAGTGTTTGCCTATTGAAACTATAATAGATATATATAAAGATTCAGTAAAGGGCAGAAATGATCAGCAATACAAGATCTACAAAAATACCAATATGACAGAAAACATTGAATGATTATTTATAGAGTTATTGCCCTTAGCAAGATTACAAAAAAATTGCCATTTCCCCTTAAATGTTATAATGGATGAAAAACCTATTTTTATTCTCTTTTGGATGTATTGGCTATGCCACCTTTAAAAAATCAGCTGCATGGGATAGTTTGTTAGTGTAGAAATGAGACAACTGCATGGGGTAGTGTGTTAGTGTAGAAATTAGACAGCTGCATGGGGTAGTGTGTTAGTGTAAAAATTAGACAGCTGCATGGGGTAGTGTGTTAGTGTAGAAATTAGACAGCTGCATGGGGTAGTTTGTTAGTGTAGAAATTAGACAGCTGCATCGGATAGTTTGTTAGTGTAGAAATTAGACAGCTGCATCGGATAGTTTGTTAGTGTAGAAATTAGACAGCTGCTGGGAAAGTTTGTTAGTGTAGAAATTAGAAAATGGCAGAGAACCACAACAGTTTATTGTGTTGTTAATTTATTTTTATTTGAGGGAGGCTTTTTATATGAATATGAGAAATATAGGATAAACACCAGTCAGACAGCAACCCAAGAAAACACTGACATTTAGACAGCTAGACATCATATGGTATGGATTTTGCTCATTATTGAAGGCAATACAGTGACCTATAATTGTTCATATCTATGTCATTTTGTCTCTGGTGAATAGTTTTCTCATTGGCAAATCATTCCATCTAGTTATTTTATATGCAGGTCAACAAAGGGTCTTTATTAATATGCAAGTGTCCATGGCATTATATTAAATACTTAATAGTTAACAGTAATAAACAAATAAATGCCTTAGATTTTATCACAGATGCCTGTTTTGTATCACTTCATCCTCCTAGATTCTCAGAATTTCTTTCATGGTACTTTAGATTAAAATATGATATCAGAAAAACTAAGTTATAATTAATTGACTTAATTTAATTTTAAAATAATAAGTTAAAGATTACAGATATCTGGTTTATCTGATAACAGAATTAATTTGTCATGGCCTATCACTGTAGATCACCATTATAACTTGTGAATATGGTTCTTCATCGTTTGATAGTATTATTATCATTCATCAGCGTTTGTTAGCTGTGATTTTGACAATTTTTACAGACTAACTGGAAACCTAATCTCAGCATTGAAAATTCATCAAAATTTTGATTATTGACTTTCATTATTATCTGGGTACAAATCAATTTATTTTAATCAGATGTTATGTCAAGGGTTAATTTGTATAATTAAAAGATTGTGCTTTTTATTTAGATCACTAGGGCTTTGGGTATAACTGCATGGTTCAACTTTTAGTTTTTTTAAGTTCGCAAGGCTCAAAAGGAGGGGATGGTCCTGAAAGTATAACTTTATAATACGAGGGAGACAATTTACTCTATCCCATGGCTGAGCAGGAGATCAATTTTTTGAATGTCACCCTCTCGTGCAAACCAATCAAAAATCAATAATTTAACGGATAATAATTGAATTTACATCAAATAGTTAAAGTTGTACGTTTTGGCTCAGAACTTTTTAGTAGACTGTCAAAATTAAAAAAAACATCTTGCTTCATGTCTGTTGATTTTTCTAATATCTGTAACGTTGTTATGTATGTGACGTCATAGTAAAATACTTTAAATCTAAAATACAACACTAAAAGACAATAATGATAGGACATTCAGTATAATAAATTAAATAACACATAGCTGAGAGTGTGACAATGTTTTCTCAGGGTAACAATCTGCTCTATCACCCTCGCAGCTATGTGTTGTTTATGTTGTATGATGAGAAGATGTGTTTATTATGGATGAACTACTTTTGACTCATATGTAAAAAATAACCTTGACTCTAGAGAAAACAATTATGGATCAATGTAAGAAATGGAATCAACACCTTATAAATTTCATGCATCTGTATAAGGCTAATATTCAGATGAAGTCAAAAGTGAGGCCAATTTTCAAACTGCCAACAATATGACCAGTCTGACAAATACTAGTTTTGGAGCCAATTTTAAGGGTGAATTAGTTTACTAATTAAAGTAAATAGGGTGTCTTCCCCAGGTGAAAAACCATTGTATTCTTCAAAGAAAAACCATGGTATTCTTCAATGAAAAACCATGTTATTCTATGATCATCACTGACATCTTTGATTGTAAAATAGCAGAAAACAATCATTCTAGATCTTTAATGAAATACGCAAATTTTGAGAGAGGACTAATTCATTTATAAGATGTTTAATCTAAATGAAGAAATTATGTGTTTTATCTTATTATTATGACTGTGTGTTTACAAATACAGAATATTATTTATTTGATGCAATATTTGTTTCAACTTAGCTAAATAAGGGGAGATAACTCAGGTAATGTAAATTTTATGAAGGGTTGTATACAAAATTTACCTATTTTGTTTTGTAGAACGAATCAAATCATATCACTCAAATTTTTATTTTTATTTCCTGAAAACATTTTATTAGAGCTATCTTCTCATGTATTTTATCTTAGGGGGGCATTAGCTAAGATTTTAAGATAAAAAATTAAAATATAATTCTTGTTTTTGTTACCAACATTTATAAAAGAGGAATATTGAGAGAGTATTTCACTATTAGCAGTCAGTTTGGTTCAATTTTGTCAAAATAATCTCAAAACATAATAGCTAATGTAAATTATTAGCTTAAAAGTCAATAATTTGAACCTCATTTGATTCGTGCAACCTTTAATTTGACCTTTTACGTGAGGTGGGTTAAGTATGTGCTAAGTGTGTACAGTTATTTATAATAACAAAAGAATGTCAACATTGAAAAGTGAAACAAAGGAGCCTGCAGGAAAAACCATTTCTTTGACTGATTTGGCCCACAAAAATTATCCATATGTATACAGGTACAGTGATGATTTACATTCTTTTTAATCTATGACATGAAATCAAACAAACCTTGTCACATGCTTGTTGGTCCTTTTTTATTACATTTATGTTTAGATTGGATTTTATGACAGTGATCAGTTTCACAGATCGTAAGTATACTTACGATCTCTTGATTAACTTCAGTCGTAAGATTTTTTTGTGAAACTAATCACAGATGTTATCTGGATGGTTAATTAAATGGTATCTAGTCTAAAATATGCACAAACTGCTGATAAATTAGAAAGAGTCCATGCATTGTTTATTGCTTCTTTTGGACTTTTTTGTAATTTGGATATGAGTTTTAGAATGTTATGAATAAAATATGAGAATTCAAGTCAAATTGTTGATCATGAATTTGACAGCTAATTTTATGCCCCCTTAAAATAATTGTTTAGTTTTATTTCTTTCACACAAAAATTGTCTTTTTATGTACAATCTATTCAAAATCTGACAATGTTGCACAGCCTGTAGCTGGAAAAAAACCTTGTGACCCATATGTTTTTATATATTTTTCCAAAAAGCATACTGGAAGCTACATTTTGGCAAATAATTAAAAATTTCTATTGATTTTAATTTAGACCCCCATCTACCTTAAGTAAACTAGATAACTTGCAAAATTAGATAAATTTGTTTTGTAAATGCTACAAGCAGATATGTTTTACTGAAGTTTAAACAGTAGACGATTTTGATTTACTGTGTTTTAGTTTGTTTAAGAAATGGGTTACTGGTATTGGAACAATTATACATCCTTGATCTATATCTTAAAACACCCATACTGACAACAATAGTTAATTGAAGTGTTTCAACATGTAACAAATGTTTTACGAAACATTGATTAACCCACTTTAAAGAATTGCCTTAGTGTATCTATACTACAGAATAGACATCAGTAGAAGAGAGACGATTTAGAATGTTGTACACAAAACACACATTAGTACAAATGTCAATTTATAAAAATTAGGGGATGTGGATAATGATTGTCACTAAGACAATGATCCATCAGAGTTCAAATGACGTGAATATAAAAGCAGTTATAGGTCACAGTACAGCCTTTTACAATGCGAAAAAAAAACATACCATATAGTCAGCTATAAAAGGCT